CAAACTCAAGGCAATCCTCCTGCCTCAGCCTCCCAAGTGCTGGGATTACAGGTGTGGGCTACCACACCAGGCATTATATTTCCATTTTTTAAAAATTAAGATTGATACGGGCATGGTGGCACATGGTTTTAATACCAGCATTCAAGAGGCTGAAGAAGGAGGACTGCTGTGAGTCTGAGCCCAGCCTGGGCCATACAGTGCATTCGAGGCCAGCTTGAACTACATAGCTAGCCCCTGACTCCCCCCAAACAGAACAAAAAGTATTAAGATTGGCATGATGGCACATGCCTATATTCCCTGCTACTTGGGAGGCTAAGGCAGGAGGATGACAAGTTTGAAGCCAATCTGAGCAACTCAGTGAGACTCTTACTCAAAAAATAAAAGTTGGATGTGATGGTGCATAACTACAATTCCAGTGCTTGGAAGGCTGAGGTAGAAGGATCGAAGAGTCTGGACTGTGTAGGGAGTTTCAGACCAGGCTGAACTCAGAGTAAGCTTGTCTAAAAAAAACTAAGTAAAAAATAAAAAGGGCTGAAAAGGTAGCTCTGTGGTACAGCCCTTGCATGAATTCCTGGGATCAATCCCTGCACAGCAAACATGCGGGTGCGCGTGCGCGCGCGCACACGCGCACACACACACACACACACACACACACACACACACTCACCTATACACTAGATTTAACTACACTCAAGAAAGAAGTTAACATTCTAAATTTATACTGAACTGGGATAAGATACTTTAATTCAAAATTATGTATATAGTATGCTCTGTACATGAAGCGCAAGAGAGTGTAAGCATTCCAGATTCTCTCTAGGAGTCCCCATTCTGAACAGATCAGCTTTACTGTGCTTTGGAAGAGTCACTGAATTTAATTCATTAGCTATGTACTGTGCAGGGACTGATCCCAGGGACTCACGTAAGTGCTCTACCACAGCGCCACATCTTCAGCCCCCCACCTTTTTTTACTTAATTTTTTTTTTGAGGCTTAAATTACATTTATAAAAGTAGTTCTTTAATTAAACAAGAAAAGCATGTTGGCCCAGGAATTTAGATCATTGGTTCCACCACCTGCTTCACAAGTACAAGGTCCCGAGTTCGATCCCCAGTACCAAAACAACAACAACAAGAAAAGCACGTCATTCTCCAAAGGTAGGTGACAGCTATAGTTCTTTAATTTGATTATATCACTTTTCCCCATAATGAAAACAATTTATTTCCTAAAGACTGAAAATATTATTTTGATTTCTGAAGTTAGTATCTGCTTGGGTGTTTAGTTATTAGTTTTAAAAATGGTCTAAAACAGGGCTGGGGCTTTAGTTCAGTGGCACCATGCCTGCCTGAGAAGCGCAAGGTCCTAAATTCCATCCCCAGTACCCACCGAAGGAAAACCGTCTAGAACAGCTATACACACCCATGAATGTATATTTGCTGGGGACTTGCAAAAAATTTTTTTTACTTGATACATTTCTTCACCCCCATTTCACTTCAGTTGAAAACAATCAATAAATTTACAAAGTGAATTATCAGAGTAACTAAAGATATTACACAAATTTTGTCAGGCACAAGTTAAGAAGGACATTAAAAGAAGTTTAGAAAAGTATTTTATATTTGTCTTCCATTAAATTTCCTTTCTATTTTTTGGCATCTTGTCACAAAATTAAACAGAAAGAGAACGCTAAAGGCTATCAGTGGTCATCACGGTGTTCACGGACTTACAAATACAAATCGATGCTGAGAGCACGGGTGGTATAGGCAGTGTACATGTGTGTTATCTTTTATGTAAATGTGTAATGTGTATGTATGTGTATCCCACATGCAACATATATTCTACCTAGAAACTAATGAGCATTACTAAAAGTAAGTGTGTCACCCACTCGTGTAGGTCTTTCCCCTACAATATGGGCACACGCAGGATCAGTGGTCACTAATCGGCTTGAACTGTGACAGTGGGCAGGTCTCATTCTCACAGGTACCTCTGGTGTCTCTTTGGGCTCGTGACAGAAAAATGGAGGGCCAGAGGCTCATCTTCTTGGAATATTTTGCTTATTTTTTGCGGGGATGAGAGAGTGAGTCCATTTACAGACCACAAAATCATGCTTTTAAATGTACAATTAAGTGGTTTGAGCATATGCACAGTTATGCAACCACTACCTACATCTATATTTTCACCATGCTTATTGTTTTAAGGTTTAAATTTATACCAACAGTATTTTCCCCTTCTTCGTGGTTGAGACGGAAGTGTTAAATACAAGTGAATATAGTGATATAACCTGAGAATGCAGATTTTTGCGTATGTCATGAAAACAGGCACAAAGCACATGCTTAGATCGATACAGCAAGCAGTGTGACTGCTTAGAGCCTTTGCTACATTACTGGGTCATTAATTCCAACACTGGCTATTCTGAAATAGTCCCCCCACCCCTTTTCTTTGCGATACTGGGTCTTGACGTGTTGCCAGGCTGGTTTTGAACTTGTACACTCGTGATCCTCTTGCCTCAGCTGCTGAGTCACTGGTATTATGAGTGCGCCACTCATCTCTCTGGCTGCAAGATCCCTTTAATGTCTGCTATCCAGTCCAAGAGGAACAGCATCATACTGAAGTATGTCTTAGAATATCCTGTATGTGTCCTGTAAGACATTTCTGGGCCTTTAAAAAAATGACTACCTCAGTGTCCCTAACTCTCTTGCCACACGTTAGTTCCTTAAGGAGCGGTGTTACTGAACCACTGCAGAGCCCTCAAAGACTTTTCCCAGATGTTCATAAACTGGGTTCCCAGCCTCCAATTTGGGAATCATAAAATACTCGCTCCCAGTACATAGAACTTGTTCTTGACAAGATTAAATTTAGATCCTAGAGGTATTTTCTAAGATACTTTGCTGTTCTAATTAAGGTAATTACAATTCGTTTCTTAAACTCGGTATTGATCATCTGAAGGAACAACGCAGTTCGTGGTGAGAAACTATGTTGTCAACTATCTTGAAAATGTAATTATAACTTCAGGATTGTAACTTTACAAAATATATGACCAGGACAAATATCTAGACATTATTAAAAGGTATAAAAATATCAGTTAGATAATATATGAGAAGCTATTATAGTAACCCAAAAGAAAGAACCCTAGAGGACATCTGATATGTACAAGAGGTCATTATACTGAACTTAAAAGGAGTATTTACTTTCAAAACAAAAACAAAAAAGTTTAATTGTATAGTCTTCAATTAAAAACTAAACTGATAATCTTACACAAGTTCTTTAAAAAATAATATGCATGACATTATTTATTTATACATACCTGTTTTGATAAAAAAAACATTTAAGATTCAATAATAGTTTAGTCCATGCCAGTTTTTTAATGTACAAGCTTGGGTTTTCACTTCCTTCTCTTCTCTCTTTTATTTAAAGCATTGTTCACAGATTTATATTCATAATGATGGCGGCATCAAGAAAATTAGAATGATACAAGTAGCAGGAGGGTTTCACTTTGGATCCTTAACAATATTTTATCATTACCAGTTTCAAGCCTTTCTACAGCAGTCTGTTACAGGACATACATTCAGACTGCATTTAATGAGGGAATAATGATGTTTGGAATTATGATAGCTATTCACAGGACCTTATTATCACTTCTTAAGCCTGTTCTATAATCAAGAGGAGAAACATACTGACTAAAATGAGATAAATAGTTAACAATACTTTGAAGAAATATGAGGACAATCTATGAAGCCCCATATGGGGCTATATGATGATAATAACTCTTGGATAATTCAGTGGTAAACTTCATAAACTAATAATAACCATATTTACTGAACACCAACTATGCACTGAGTATTTAGCCTACAGCATCTCTCACCTTCACAACAGCCCACCAAGAAATCATATACATTACACACTTTACAAATGAGAAATAGGCGTAGTCCAAGATGCTGAACAGTGGCATAGATATTAAAATCCCCAAGTGGGATTCCGCATCCTAGTTGGACACATGTTTTAGCCAGAAGTTTAACTCCAGTCTGGCTACAAAATACACACACACACACCCCTTCCGTATCACTCTGCTCTGTCCGTAACGCAAGCTACTCAATTCTGCAACAGAGTGAAGGGTGCTGCGTGAGCGTGCTGTGTGCAGCTCTCTAACCACGTACAAACAACTCTAGTTACCAAAGGGGAGGTCACCCACAGCGATTTCACTACTAATGCCACAACAGTACTTTTCTTAGCAGGACATTTTGGCAGTGGCAGGGTAATGATATGAAGAGGGAGGGAACTCTACGGTATGAGTCTAAAGAAGAACACGTTGAAGGAAGACAATAATATTTCACATGAAAAACTCCAGCACTGGATCTAGGGACCAGTGGCGCTTGGTACTGTTGAAGAGGTCTACCTTCATGAACTTTTTAAAAAGTACCACAGCTAACTAGGATTTTAAACTGAAATCATTTTGAGACTGCAAACTACACACAGATGTCTCTGTTATCCTTAAAATTGGTTTGTGGAAATAAACGCTGCGACAAACACCATTACTGTGCTCGATACACCTTTGTGCCTTTTATTTTTCTTTCTGAGTGAGTTTGTATTTTTTTAAACATTTGCTACAGACAGAGGTAAGTCTGGAACATCCTTGTGTCAGTCTTGGAACAGTTCACCTTCTAAGTCTTTGTGGAAGTGATCATGCACAGCTAAAACAGTACTTGGCCATTTTCCTTTTTCTCTCTCTCATTTTTGAAAGTAGAGAGCCACTTTCTTTCCTTTTCCCTCTCTCTCAGCTTCTTATGTAGAGTCCCAGTATAAATGCAACAGCTGGAATTACCTACAAATATACAAACTGAAAGAAAAGAAATATGGTTGGCTACTTGGGAGTCTGAAATGAAGACAAATCTGGACAGTTAGCATGATCAAGCAGCATCTAAGAGAGTGGAACAGAGGGAACTGAACTTGCCACAAATGCTGCTACAGGGTAAAAAAGTCCATCACTGACAGTGCAAAGCGGCTCCCATACCTTGTACCTATCCATGGGGTCTTCCTGTTGCAGCTGGCTCTCCCGCATTGTCTGGTATTCTTTTTCATATTTCTTCAGCTTTTTAGTTGGTACCTGCAAAGTTTGAAGAAATGCATGTAGATAAGACCGTAAGTTAGGAACATTTAAATGTAATTCTCAATTATGTTTCTAGCATCCTCAGGAGCACTCCTCACTCAAAGTTCAGGGGGTGGGGGATCTAGATGTAGGGCAGGGCCTGGCAAACTTTTCCTGTAGAGTTCTAGACACTACGTATCTTAGGTTCGACACTGTGGGGGTCACATCCATTCAACTATGCTGTTACTGTACTTTATTTACAAAAATAGTCATAGTTCATCGTCTCTGTTTAATAGTATGGCTGATACTATGACCTTGTCTTGCATATGTATTTTGTGTACTTAGTGCCATTTATTTTAACTATCTTTAGGTGTAACTCACCCATGGCCTTTTACCATCTTGAAAACAAAAATTATTTTATAAAAATAAACTGAACAATAATAAATATTTTAAAATAGTTAATATACTAAAAATATTCTGGGCCAAGGATTTAGCTCAATGCTTCTGCCGCCTGCCTTGCAAGCGCAAGGACCTGAGTTCGATCCCTGATACCAAAAAAAAAAAAAAAAAAAA